AGTTCATTGGGATTTTAAAAAGCATTCTTCAAGGCAGGGTATCGGAAATCTTTCTGCAGTGTTATCACCAACCGCCCACACCTCGCCATGGGCCGTGAAGCTGTTCACGTCTCTGCATCTCCTGTTTTTACATCCCAACACCAAACCAACCTTAACCTCTCCCTTTGATCTGTACATTGGGCCTTGTAATATCTTACAAGGATAAGTGGATGACTGTCTCATCTTCTGTAGCTTCTCCTTGCTGTCAAGGGACGTAGTCCTGCCTATCCCCAGGACCAGAGGTTCGTCCTGTCTGCCAAAGGAAAAAAGGGGAGGAAGGAAGGGGAGTCTTCACGGGAGTTAAGGCGGATTTTGTGAAGTCCAGGTCAGTCTGGTGCTGTCCTTGGGCGGTGCCGTACGCGACTTCTGGAGGATGGCGCTGCTGGACAAGTTGGCATCCTTGTTGTATTCTAAAGGTGACAAATTTTACAAAAATCAGCCATCTATACTAACACCGTTGTTCAGAGGATAAAAACTGAAATGTGAATATGACCAATGTGTGACCTGGCCCTTTCCGGCCTCTTGCCTCATTTTCTTCCCTCCTCCTCTTGACTCATAGAGTTCCAGCCCAATTACCTATCCTTGAAATAGAAATGTACACATTTCTTCTTCTTGTAGGTTCTCTCAGTCCATAAAGTTCCCATTGATTTTATAACCTTTACGTGTCTAATTTCTGTTTATTAGCCTTTAAGGTCAATAAGGACAGAGGCTTTGCTTTTCTCATCCCAATTAATTAGTATTAATTCATTAATCATATTAGCATAATGCCATGTACTCTAGATGTTCAATTTTATGTGCCGAATGACTAACTGATGGAATGAATGACCTTCTACCACCACTGATACCTGTTGTTTTCCACCTGATCATTGCAGGAATTATTTTTTGGTTCCACTTTCTTGTTTTCCCTCACAATCTACCTTCCATACTGCTACTCTCATGACCTTTCTAACAATGAATGAATCTGATGTCACCACCTTATACAGAATTGTTTAGTGGCCTTCCATTAATCAAAGGTTAAAAGTCTTCAGCTTGCCATACAAAGACCTCTCATGGTTTGGTACTCCTGTAACACCCCCCACACCTGTTGTTATTTGGCTGCCTTACCTCCAGTACTATAGAATGACAAAGCAAAAGAACTGGAGGAAAAATTAAACAAAACATCTAAAAGTATTCAGAGTCCCATGCTACTAATTTCTTGGTTGGCATACTGAACTCTGAGGGCCCTTTTTTGGTATTGATTTAATTAATGTATAGAGTGACGTACTGAAAGAGGCCAGAAAAGCTTGATGGATTAATATGAGAAAGAGCAGAAAGCTGACCTCCAATCATGCTTGCTCCAGGAGTTCACTTTTTAAATCCCTCTGTACCAAATATATAGCTATGATGGGTAAAATATACAAATAGAAAACCAGAGGCATAACCAGGCTCAGGAAAGATAGATACCTCTGTGGACAGGTAATGGAATAGAAATGCAATAATTTGGGCTGAAACCATTAGCTGCTTTCCAGAAGCAGTTTTTTGGCTCCTGTGAGCATAGAGGATTTAAAATATATCATGAATAAAGCTGAAAGCCAGGAGCTAGGCTATGGCTTGCTCGGTTCCTGGAGGACATTGAAAGGGTATGAGTACATTGTGACTTGGGTACAGTGGAGGCGGTGTTATTGAAGGAGAGGGAGAATGGATGTTCCCTGTGTGACTGGCAGTGTTTGTCAGAACAGAAAGTAATGAGAATAAGGGAGTTGGGGCCCTGCCGGCGGCTCAGTCGGGAGCATTTTCTCCTATATCGAAAAGGTTTCGGGTTCAGTTCCCAGTCGGGGAGCATACCTGGGTTGCAGGTTTGATGCCGGTTAGGGTGCAGCTTTGGGTGAGGGTTAAATAAATAAGTAAATGCGTGAGTTGTATTCAACCCAATAACCTAAAAGTGAAACAAAGAAAAAGAGAGAATAGAGATAAAACCTAAAGAAAGTGGAAAAAGAACGCAGAAATTAGTAAAATAGAAAGCAATGAAATAAGATAAAAACCAATGTGTTTTTTTTAAATCTGATAAAATATATATTTCTACCAAAACTGATCAAGAAAGGCATGAAAAATAATACGAGAGAAGGCACACATAAACAATATTTAAAGGGATTATAGTAACTGATACAATTGAGATTTTTTTTTTAAATCATAGAGAATAGTGTAAATAACTTCACACCAATACATTTTAAAACTTAGATAAAATAGATATGCACTTAAAACTATAAGCTGTCAGAAGTGACTCAAGAAAAAATAGAAAATTAAATAGTATTACAAAAAAATGAATTTATAATTAAAAATATTCCATCACCCTGCTCCTCCTCTACACTTTTATATCCCCTACCTTCTGACTGCAGGAGGAAATGTTGTGAGACACAGGCCCTGATTTTCATCGAATTTCAAGAATCCTTTAACTGTTTTTAAAGAACTGATGAGAGAAAGTTACTTAACCCAGTTTTTGAGACTTGTGTTATATTGCCACTAAAATCCAACAAGAATAGTATATGAAAAGAAAATTATGGTCCAGTCGCACCTGTGGACACAAATGTAAAAACCTCATTAACAAATTTAGTTCAGAGTCTGTGTATTGGCCTGTTTGTCTTCCTACCTACCTGCCTACCTACCTATTGATCAACTTCCATCCATCCATCCATCCATCCATCCATCCATCCATCCATCGTTTTATCCATTAGTCAGTCTACTCAGAGTTTACCCAGGAATGCAAGCATCGTTCAGGGCCAGAACATATATAACGTTTCAGGTAACACTGATATGGTTATACAATAGGTAGATTAAAAAACATTTGATAAGGTCAGGATCCTGGTGATATATGGGACATGAGGAAGGGGTCGTGAAGTCAAGACCCAATCCGTAGTAGACTTTAGTTATATCCATATTAGTTAATTACTTTTTAGTAAAATAATATTACACAAAGTTGATTGTGTACATGTATATCATGATATTCTTTATTCTCTATGTAATTTAATGGACTCTTGTAATATCACATAATAAAAACCAAAAAAGTAAAAGGTGGCAGGTGGGGTAGGTCTGAACAAGGGGAGAGTGAAGGAGGTGCGTACCTAGTGAGAGAAAGTTCTGGAAAAGAAGTGTTATGTGTTAGGAATGTAATTTCTCTACTGACCTCCTATTTATTGATGCTTTAATAATGATTTAAAATTGTTTTCCATTATGTCTTGGGTATCATTATGGTATGTCTTATGAATATGAAGTTATGTTGAGCTTTCCCCAGGTTATAAGTACTTCACATGCCTGGTTGCACTTCCTCATTTTGCTCCATCTGTACAAAAACTCACCCTTTGCCTTCTCTTACTGCCTGTCCCTCTGAGTCCCTGGCAAACTCCTACTTATCCTTTGAGTCTTAAATCCATCATTTCTTCCTTTGTGAACAGGCTCTCCTTTTTTCATGCACTAGTGTGCTTCTCGAGAACCTGGACTGTTTATTTTTATGTCTGTAGTTCCCTGGCTCAAAGCAGACGCTCAATAAATATTTGTTAAATTAGTGGGCAAATTAATAAATTAATTAATGAACAGTCTTTTGTAGAAAGAGATTTATTGAGATAAAATTTATGGCATAAATTTCATCCTTTTAAAATGTAGAATTCAGTCATTCTTAGTGTATTTGGAATTGTACTGATATATGCATAATCAAATTTGATAACATTTTTGTCATCTGAAAAACCTAGTGCTCATTCACCATTTCACTCCTGCCCCACCTCTAGGCAATCATTCATCTGCTTTCTGTCCCTATAGATTTGCTTATTCTGGACATTTTATGTAAATGGAATCATACCATATGTGGCTCTTCGTGAGGACCTTTTCCTTAAATGTTTTCAAAGTCACCCGCATTGCAGTGTGTATCAGCACTTCATTACTTTTTATTACTGAATAATATTTTATTGGATGGATAGACTGCCTTTTGTTTATCCATTTATCATTTGATGGACCTTTCAGTTGTTTCCACCTGTTGGCTATTATGAATAATGCTGCTGTGAACATTCATGTACAAGTTTTTATGTGTTCATTTGTTTTCATTTCTCTTGGGTAGATACCCAGGAGTGGCATTGTTGGGCCATATGGTAACTATGTTTAACTTTTTGAGTAACTGCCAGACTATTTCGAAAGTAGTTGTTCCATTTTCATCCCCACCAGCAATGCATGGGGGTTTCAATTTCAGTAGATCCTCAACAGTACATGTTGTTTATTATCTGTCCTTTTTATTACAACCATCCCAGTGGATATGAAGTGGTATCTCATTGTGGTTTTGGTTTATATTTTCCTAATGATCAGTGATGTTAAGCATCTTTTAATGTGTGTATTGGCTCTCTCCCTCTCTATATAGATATACATACATATACATATCTTTGAAGAATTAGCTAGCTATTCAAGTTGCTTGCCCATTCTAAAAATAGGATTTTCTTATTATTGAGTTATAAGAGATGTTCTGTATACATTTTTATCATCTGAAAATGATAAAATTTTCCTTATTAGATGTATGATTCACAATATTTTCTCTCAGTCTGTGTGTTGTCTTTTCTTTCTTGATGCTGTCACTTGAAATGCAAATATTTTTAATCGATGAAGTCCAATTAAAAGTATTTTTAAATTGTGCTTTTGGTATCATATCTAAGGAATCATTACGTAAACGAAGATCATGAAGATACTCATCTCTATTTTCTTCTGCAAGTTCTTTAGTTTTAGCTCTTAAATTTAGGTTGTGATCCATTTTGAGTTGACTTTTTGCAAGGTGAGAGGTAGAAGTCCAAATTCCTTCCTTCCTTTGTATGTGGATAACCGGTTGTGCCAGTACCATTTTTTGAAAAGACTGTTCTCTCCTGAATGAGCAATCTTGAATATTTTTCTAATCATACACCTTTTTTGTATTGATATTCTTTTAATTTATATTCTTATGTTTTGATTTTCAGGTTGCTTATCAAGTGTCCCACAAATGAAAAAAATTTCCACATCTTATGAGGAAAGACGGAAACAAGCTACTGCAATTGTTTTACTGGGAGTCATAGGAGCTGAATTTGGTGCTGAAATTGAACCTCCTAAATTGCTGACCAGACCTCGAAGCTCTAGTCAAATTCCTGAGGGATTTGGTTTGACTAGTGGTGGATCCAACTACTCTCTGGCCAGACATACTTGTAAGTTTTAAAATTCTTAATGCTGACGTATTGCTTCTCAATATATATTATTTGTTAATAAAATCTAAGATTATTGAACATAACTTGAGTTTCAACTCAAATAGAAGGTTCAGATGAAGTTAGAAAGCAAGAAAATCTGTTGCCATAGTTACCAAACTTCTTTTTAAAAGTTAAAACGTGGTTTGTAAATGCTTTTATTCAAATAACACATTTCTGAGATTTGTATTTTCACAATTTGGTCAAGATTTTAGCCAAAATTTATGAAAGCTAGCTTTAGGTTAAAACTTTTAACTTATAAAATAATTTCAGGAAAACTGTGTAACTAGTCCTGAACATGATTTGAAAAGTCAGAGGTGGAGGTGGAACACCAATTTTTTTCTTTCTATTTTTAATATGTTTTTATTGGTTTCAGAGAGAAGAAGGGAAAGGGAGAGAGAAATAGAAACATCCATGATGAGAGAGAGTCATTGATTGGCTGCCTCCTGCACGTCCGCAACCCAGGCACGTGCCCTGACCATGATCTTCTGGATCATAGGTCAATGGTCAACTCCTTAGCCATGCTAGCCAGGCCCAATTTTTTTCTTTAAAAACAAAAAAGTTTTAAAGAGCATGAATGAAGAACTGTGCATTACCTTTAATTTAAAATACATTCTAATACCAGTTTTAAAATGACGAAACAGTTACAATCAGAGCTCAAAGGGTTTGTGTCATATTGCTTTTGTTCTGAAGTTGGTATGTTAATAACAGGTAAGAGTATTTTATAATGATGCCTTTTGGTACTTCAGTGTCCGAACTCAAAATGTTCCTGCCATATTGCAAAATTATTTCTAATATCATGTCATCTTAAGGACCAAATATAATCCCACTGAATATATCACAAGATACTCTTTGTAGAGCAAATTGCAGTGTTTTCTTTTGGGTTTTTCGGCCTTTAAGCAAAGGAAAAAGAGTATGTTACTTTGGCAGTTGTGACAGCAGAGAACTTCATTGGATCATCGTCACATACTTTTGCTGTGAAACCAAGGAGCTGTTTAGAGGCTTTTGCTCTTAAAGCCCTGTTATAGACTTAGCTGCTTTGCCCCCTTTTTTTCTTAATGTAGCAAATATTTATTAGGGTTGGTAATCTCTTGATATCTCTTTGACATTGAGAATCAGAGAGTAATAATAACAATACCACCAACAATAATAATAAAGCTACTAACTCTTTTGAGCTCTTTACATGCATTAACTCACTCAGTCCTCATAATCACCTTTTAAAGTGGGTATCTCTTACCCCACCAGTGTGGTTCAGTGGTTGAGCGTTGACCCATGAGCCAGGAGGTCAGAGTTTGATTCCTGGTCAGGGCACATGCCCTGGTTTCCAGCCTGATCCCCAGTAGGGGGCATGCAGGAGGCAGCCAATCAATGACTTTCTCTCATCATTAATGTTTCTCTCTCTCTCTCCCTTCCTCCCTCTCAAATCATTAAAAAACGTATTTAATAAATCTCTAAAAAAAAAAAATGGGTATCTCCATTATCTCCATTTTACACATGGGGCCAGTGGGGCGCAGAAAGGGTTAGTCAGCGTGGCCGAGATCTTACCTCTAGGAAGTGGCTGTTTTGGTCTCTGCACCATCTGTTGGCTCCACAGCTCATGCTGTTGACCATTATGCAAATTCTTGCTGTTCCCTGGTTCCCAGTCGAAAGGGCTTAATGACTAGCCTGTGCTATCGCTTCATAACTTCAAAAGCACTTTCTTGTCTATCCCCTCGTTTGAACTTCTAAATAGAAACTGACTTCTTCAAAGCGACTCAGCCAGAAAGTGGTAAAACTTAGACTTGAACTCAAGCTGCTTATGGCCTGAAATTCGTGCTTTTCCATTTTCTACCTGGGCGCGTCGACTTTCCCTCCCCTGCTAAGGCCTCCATGCTCTGGCTCCGGCCTCTCAGCTCTAGACTCCCCCTGCTTTTCATTCATAAAACCCTGCTCAGATCTCACCTGCTGTACCAAGGGCTCTTCAGGCAGGCCTGCCTCTTCCTGTCCTTCCAGACAGTCTAGGACTTACACATAGAGCCCCTATTTAGAATCTGGGCATCAAGAATATGAGAGATAATGAAACTTTGAGATGTTTACTTAGTCTGATGGCTTTCCAACTCTAGCTCACCGTCTCTCTATGACTATCAAGAAATTTCTAATCCCTTGCTCATTTTTATGTTGACAGCTAAAACTTTTAATGGTAAGTTTAAACATTTGCAAAAGAGAATTTGGGAGATTGTGAATATTGACATTTAAAATTAAACTGCTGTTGTTCTTTTTAATATACTCAATAGAATATTTACCATAACCATTTGACTAACTTTTCTTTAAATGTCAGAAATCTCACATCTGATTATTTTCCTTGAAGCGAGATCATTTCTATCCTCACAGTGTTAGGAAAGGTGGTCGTATGCTCATTTAGCATCCAGAATTTAATTCCTTTAAACTATGTCTTAAAATTATTTGTGCTTTCTTGAAAAGTCTTAGGATGTTCCCATTTGAAGGGGGTTACTTATTTTGAAGAACACTGATTTGTCCAACGTGTTTTGTATAATTTTTTGATGGTGTTCTTTTGTATTTTGTGTTTTCCTGCAAGGAAAGTGAACATAAATGCTTTTCTCTGGAATTCTCCCATAGCTGAGTATATGTCTCTATATATAAATATAGGAATATCATAAATCAATGAATTAGTGACTGATTCCACCCAAGACATTTGTTTACACCACATTTGCTTAGTTACCTAGACGAGTGCTGTTATTGTCCCTTTTCTAACCACAACTTATCTTTATATAAAATTCCAATATCCATGCACTTATGTCTTTTATTTTAACTGTAATCATTTCACCCACAAATTATAACTACTGTAACTAGGGAAAGAGGAAACAGGTTAGGCGAAAAGGGGGAAATAAAATGCGGAAACAGAGCTTTTTTAAAGAAGCCTTAGGAATTGGTAGAAGAAGGCTCTGACGACTGCTCTTTCAGTTTGTTAAAAGACAGAGAGCTGAACCACATGTAAAGGGATCCTAGTGCCTGTTTCTGACATGAGGGATCCCTGAGCTGAGCTGTACTGTGGGGCGGGACTTAAGCATGGTGCCTCCTCGCTTTCCCGAGCAAGGTAAATAAAATATACCCAGACATTTTAGATGTTTAAGTGTTTTAGAAGCAAGTTTGTTCCTTGAGCATTTTGGATAAAAGACTAGAAGTGGGAGGGGCAGAAGGTAATGTTCCTTAGCAAATTGTATTTATGATTATTTTGTTGAACCAAAAGACAGGGATTCTGAGAGATTTCTAACAAGCAAGAAATAGCATATAAAAATGAGTGCTATCATTAGTACCTATTAGAACCAGTTTAAATGTGTAAAATGTCTCAGATATTTTCCTTATCTATTATGATTGCCCTACTTTATTTTAATAATTATAAAATATTATAAAGGTAATCATGGGTTTGCTTTTAAGTTTCATTCCATTATCCTATTTTTTCATCAAAGAGCTTAGATCCCTTGGTGGTAAATTTGCCTGCCACAGGGATTTTCAACATCTATCTTATTTGAATTTGGGTGTTTTTATTAAATTTATAATTATCAGTTTAAATCTTGCTCTCCTAATTAGAAACAGTTATATATCTAAGTATTCTGTGTCTTACTTAGGCTCTTTTCAATCAGTTACATGTAAAATTAACCAGTTATGTTAACCTGCTAGAAGTTGTTCTATGTAGTGCCATGTTATTTGTTTATGTGGCATTTTAGAATGTATTGGTACCATTAAATATTTAGTCTTTACAGCATCCCATTGAATGAGATAATAATTATTATCCTCATTTTGAGATAAGGCCATTAAGATACAATATTTGATGAACTTTAATTGCTAATGTAGTTAGAGGTATAAAGGTGAAGTCTAACCTTCCTTATAAAGCCATTTTGTGAGAACTCTTAACCCAGTTAAATCCCAATTACCCGCATTGACAGGAGGGAAGAGTGATGCAGATGCTTAATTCAAAAGTCATTTTTAGCCCTGGCCAGTGTGGCTCAGTTAGTTGAGCATCGACCCATGTACCAGAAGATCACCAATTCGATTCCCGGTCAGGGCACATGCCCAGGTTGCGGGCTCGATCCCCAGTAGGGGGCGTGCAGGAGGCGGCCTATTGATGTTTCTCACATCGATGTTTCACTTTCTCTTCCTCTCCCTTCCTCTCTCTCTAAAATCAATAAAAGCATATTTTAAAAATAAATAAATATAAAGTAAAAAACCATTGAAAAGTTATATTTTGTTTTATAATACACTTTATACTAAGATTTGAACATATATGAATTTTGTGGGTGTTACACTTTACATAAAACATCAAAATCACATATTGAGGACAAAGCTGACAGACTCTGGCGATTAAGAGGCCTAGACTGGATCACTTGGTACGTGAAGTGTCCCTCTAGGTCATATTTTCCTCTTATATAAAATAAAAGACCAGAACGATTCTCTTTTTAAGCCCCTTTTTGTTCAATTAGTCTCTGCTTCTGAAGTGAAATAGGAGGCATCCCAGGAACTTCACCTCTTTGTAACCTTCCATTTTCTTCTCCACGTAAGGATGGATACTTCACATCAGCCCATCTGCAGTAGAGATTCTTCGTTTTTATTTGGATCCACAAAATAAGGCATTTTTAGACTATTTTAGGGAATTATTTATAATGTTACCTTATCGGACATTTGGTTCATTCTTTCATTTGGTCTCTCGGCTCAGTTTGTAATTGTGGAATTATACTGGCACATCTGTAGCAAATACCATTTTGATCTCTCATTAGCTTTTTTACTTTGGGCAAGTGTCATAAGTCATTTCCCTAGGCAGCAGACTCTGAGACAGATTCTTATGCAGGCCTATTCTGGGAGCAATACCTTTAGGGGAGTGAAAGAAGCAGGGATGGGCAGGGGGAGAAGTTGAATTGCCTTCCAGTTGCCTAGAAAGCCTCAGCCCATCTCAGGGAACTCTGGAGCTG